TCATGGCCACCTAGCCAAGGTCTGACTTATGAGGACCCTACCCTATGCACTTTCTCCCTACCTAGCACAGTCATATTCTGCATGATTCTGTATTAGTCTCTGTAGGCCTATCGGCCGTCAAATTGTGCATATTCCACTGCCCATCTGTATGGTTGTTCTGTACTCTGCAGCTGGGTCACCCTCACCCCCTTGTATATCATCTGTTTCTTCCGCTCATCCCTTTTGAAGCCCTAGCCTCGTGATACGCGAGTCTGTGTACATCTGTTGCAAGTCTGCATTTTTCTATCGGTCACATGTGTCTGCATATGTCGGCTGTACCAAGAGAGAGAGAGAGAGAGAGAGAGAGAGAGAGAGAGAGAGAGAGAGACTTTTCTCCGACTCTTTTGAAGCCCTAGCATCGTTGCAGCTTTTCTGCATCTCTGCTTAAACCACCAGTACTTCCGAGGCACTTTTCTCCGACCCTGGAAATGCCCTGCGTGTCAAAAAGCAAACAAATCGGTGCGGCCTCCTTTTGGCTGGCGCCGCCATTCATTTTGCTCTGGAGGCTGAGCCCCGAAAGTCGCGCCGCGTATACGACAAGGGCCCAACGGCCGATGTATGGGCCAAGTGCTGGTGGTTTAAAACACGCGCTTCATCCAATACTCTTTGCTAGTGGGGCCTCACCCCCGCAGCAAGGTCTTGCGAGTCCAGTTCGATTATTCAATTCTGACCGTCAAAGTATGCAGAACATCTGCAGCGGTCCGAAATGGATAATCTGGTTGAGAGGGACCTAGCCTCTGGCCATCTGTGGGTGGATTAGGTGTTCTTTTATTTTCTCGCGCAGAGCCCATGGGTGCCATGCTAGTCTCTGTGAGGGGCACTTCTTTTCTCTATTTCAGAGGGTGAAAATTTTGAAAATGCTTTTAATGTTTAGAAAGAAAAACACCCGAGACGGAGATTCTTTTGTGCCATCCAATCACAAATGCTCAGAGAGGAAACACAAATTTGAAATTTACAATTTTTTTTATCCCAAAGTTGATGATCACTGGGGTCCTGCCACGACAGCAACAAAAATAAAGTCATGATGATGCTTTTCGAAGAACAATAGTCTTGAGTACGTGTCAGGAAAACATAAAGTGATAAAGTGTGATGATGTCTGAATCTGATGCGTTACATCCTCAGATATTGTTCCAATCAAAGGATGTTTCCCCCCGGCACACGAATCACTTTGTTCTTTCCTTTTCCTTTTCCTTTTCCGCCAACATCAAAAATCAATAGGACCTTTTTTTTTCCCCTCTTCTTCTTTCTTTTATTTTCAGAAAAAGGGCCCCTTCTTTCTTTTGTTTTCAAAAGGGCGTATAAGGGTCTTGAGATATGATCGTTGAACCGACCAGCCCAAGGTAATTCAGAATGGCGTCGTTCCGTTCATCTGATTGCATCTGGATTCGAACCTGGGTCTGTATTTCAACAGTTCATGCCATTTCATGGGTGTACCAATAACTGAGATGGGATCGTTGGTATCAGTGGGACCTTGCCCTCAGTCGAAGCTCACCTCAGATGAAAAATAGTGACTTTACTACCGTAGACGCCGTTTTTTTTTTGACTTTACGATCGCGTGAGTGCAAAGGCACGGGGATTTGTCAGAGGCTGGTGAGAAACTCTAAACTCTCAGCAGCACCATCCCATCACCGGTGTCAACCCCCCCTGCGCGAATCCGCCTTGTGAAACCACGCTTGTGTATCGAAGCCTCTTTCATACAATGCGGATTGCACAAGGCGGATTCCCCCTGCGCACAAAGCTTTGCTGAAACACCAGCACGGTGTTTTGAGCGGGGTATTGTTGTTTCCATTTTACCCGGTGCTGCCAGCCAATTTGGTCCGGTTGGCGCGAGCGCATCACTAATTTGCACATGGCGCATGGCCACGCGCACCGCACGACGCACCGTAGAAGTGCGCCGCAAGTATGAGTTAAAAGAAGAATGATATATATATGAGTCGGTGAAACTCCGACGAAACAGTTTGTCACAGCCCCTCGTTTGTTGTCCTCTTCTCCCTCTCTGCCTACGGTTTACCGGG